AAACAACATATGGACGCACTTCATCATTCAGAGGAAGGTGCCAGTCCAACGACCACTGCCTGGCAGCGTCTACAGCCATTTGGTAGGCACTGGCATTGGAACTCCAGGATTTCAAGTCGTCTGCAAAAAGTAGACACGGACTCGCAAGAACGTCCGGGAGGTCGTTGACGTTGATCAGAAACAGGAGTGGTCCCAAGACGGAGCCTTGAGGAACTCCGATGGGGACCGGCGCTGGAAAAGAGTAGGTCCAGCCTACTGATCTGTCTAATAGGAACGCCTTAATCCGGCGAAGGATTTTCCCTTGAATCCCGTAAGACTCGAGTTTGTGGAGCAGCGGGACGTGTGGGACGCTATCAAAATATGCCATCCGATATGAGTCCTTCGTCCTTAACTTAGGTTAAGCTGTCCATAAACACGAGCGTGTTTATCACGCGAGAGCGGTTTGGGAGAAATCTGCGTTGAGTTGGAGATATCAGGTTGCTGGAATTAGGTAATCTAGGATAGCTCGCTTCAGAGTTCGGTCCATCACCTTACCTGGGACGCTAATAAGGCTTATAGGCCTGTAACTGCCAGGCGACGCAGGGTCTAGGCTTTCGCCCATGAATCCGGGGTTTTTTGCACTTGTCGTCCAGCGGCTGTCGTTCCCCTTAGATGCACAGCACTGCTGTTTAAGTTCTCAGCACGCGGCAGTATGCTTGCCATCGCGAGGGTCTCTTGAATAGCTCTCTAACAGTACTTTGGACTATGTTCTATAGGAAGCGTTGCCTACCGCCGGGAAAAGTTTATTCCATGCAGCTACCACCCGAAATGAAAAAAATGTTACGCGATGAATATGTGCGCTCTGGGCTTGAAAATCTCCTTACCACGTCTCCTCGTGCGTTTGCTGGGTCAACGGTGAAAAGCCTGTTGGCCAAGCTTCGTTCAAACAGAGCATAAGTAAGAATATGGTCCCGACGGAGGCCAAGATACTCCAGGGGAAATCTAGATTAAATTTATATTTCGTTTCCTGATCCGTGAGAGGTGCTGGTTTAGTTGTGAGGCGAAACAGCGTGTAGATTCTTCAACTGCTACCGTGTATACAATGGTGGGAAGACGAAGCCTCGTGGAGTCGGATCAGTAGCTTACACTCCAGCACGCTTGTGTGATCTTATGGCTTGTGGTAAGGTTAACAGCTTTTCCGTGTTATTTGCGGCCCTGTGTAGGATGTGCTCGGTACGTTAAAATATAAGTGAAATAGAGAAACTTCTTATGAAACCCATCCCGAAAAGGGTTGATGGTGTATCTACTGGACTCATTTGTCTAGATAAATCGTATACCCATTTTCTACAAGCAGTCCGCAGGGAGAGAACAGAGGCACTGAAATTCCGTGCTTAGTTAGAACCTCTTTCTGCGCAGCATGTAATATCAAAAATCCTTCAGTATCCGCAGCCGGTGTGCTACAATTCAATGTAGCCCCTGATTGGTAACTCGCCTTTCTCTCCATGTTCTTCATGCATTTTTGAACAAGCAAAGCCGAACCGTTCATTAACTGTTTACCATGGAATTTTAGGCGCACTTCTCCAAAGACTCTTCAAGGTATTTTACTCCTACCTTCCTAAATGCATACAAGCTAACCGCCTCCTCACATGAGCTGGCTACGAATGTAGGTGTTCTTTAACCACGTATTCGGATACCGTCTTTTTACAACTATGCATTTCCAGCTCATCTTTATAGACCATAGCACAACTGATTGTTATATCGGCTGCGCAGCATTCAGCTAATGAACCTCCATCGTATTCACAAACGGTTACACGTTCACCCCGAACAAATCTTCAATCCCTACTATCTCTACCTAAATAACAATAATAGTAATGGTAATAGTAATAAGTTTCGTTTGTGAAATCGGGCAGTGTCGACGCACTGTATCAGTCAAAATTCTCAATCGCTCTTAGCTGTATTTTACGTCCGAACTGTTCCACCGCTTTGTTTAGTGGACCTTCCTTTGGCCCTTTTTTCTAATTTACGTTCCGTATAGGCACGGCCGTTACATTCCTTTGCCAAGAAGGCGGCAATATAACATGCTGCCACCTCAATCGACGCAAAGATATCATTTCCGCAAACTAGCCTTAATTTGTTACTATCCCTTGCAAATCCGAATTACCCTTAAAACCGACAACCGAATATACTCATGTACTGGGCTGCCCGCGAGTTCAAGCACGGCGTTGACATGACCCTTGCGACTGCAACATCCAATCTGACGGTTTGTTCGCAGTTAACCGCATCTCTATTTTTCATGGAAGTGTGTGTCAAATATGACCCAAGACCATCCTAATCCACCGAAACTGTGGCAAAACTAAATCACTGGCTATGTTATTGTACTTTCCGCTGGTTCTGGCAAAAGGCGCACCAGTTCTTTCTATGTGCTACCAATGAGTCATTATACTGGTGGAGATAGAGCCTTGCCAGTGCACCGTATATGGTGTGTTCCGAAAATAATATCACCACAAAGCTTACTAGCTGCGACGAATCTCTTGGCTTCGTCCGGCTAAGTCCCTGTTATAACAACAGAGAATTTTCTTTCCTTTTCCTTCTAACAAATGGCTGCTTTATTTCGAGGTTCGCCGGACAAGAACAACGTAATTACTGTTCGTACACATTTTTCAAAATATTTTCTAATCCGATATGGAAGAAACCACAAATATAACAAATTCTCAGCAAAATTTTTACCGCGTTCACAGAGACATCACAACAAGCCACAAAGAAAATTAAAAATATAGACGCTGCGCTCAAAATAGTTTTTGGGTACACTCCAACAAATTTTAGCGACTCTGTGACTACTTCGAGAAATTTTAGGGTTTCGAAAATTGCTGTGAAGTGTTTAAATCGTATGTCAGAGTTTTCCTCGTTTAGATGCCATCAGAGAAACCCCAAGTATGCCCCTTAAGGATCATCTAGCTGAAAAGTTGTTTCCAGTTTTGGCTGAAATTAATCCAGTACATCGCCGAAACTCTCACAACATCTACCCCACACCCTGGTTTTTGATACCCTCTCCGATTTGAATTTACCTATCACGGGAGATCTATGTCCTTTTTGTTCTGCCTGTCCCCCCTTCTTTGCCGTACCCCTCTCGTTCAACTCGCAATTTTCTAGTCATTACAAAATTGGTACGCTTCCTACAAGCTGAAGAACAAGTTCAAAGCTATAATTCTCGTTATTAATACTATAAAGACAGGCCACAGGCTTCCTCCAGACGACCACATATATACATTTATTGGAACGGTAATGTCAGCGAGAAGAGGACCGTATAATTTAATTATTGATTACCCGACCCTGAACACCGCCTTGGTCTAACGACCCATCAATCTCATCTTAGAAGAAGCAAATCTGCTGGGTTGTGCCAGAAGTCATGAAGTTGCCTCAGCTTCAGGTTACCTGGCATGTTAAGCCTTCTATGCAAGGGTCATTTAGACTGTCAGGCAACTGATTTTTGGCAACCCATCTAAAAATCGGGAGACCTGTCAGCGCGCGCCTATAACTGCGGAGTCATATTCGACGGGTAATCATCCGGAAGAACACGAGCCTTCTCCAACTTCATTATGTATTTGACGCTTGGGTCCAAAACGCATGATTTAGTAAACCAAACTACCGGCTTCCACAGTCTGAAGAGCCCGGAAATAACGCTTGCCAATGCAGCTCAGCAACAACGGTGACTTTTTCACACCAAATGTAACTACTCTCATACTAACAGCATCTGAATTTTCCAGGGTCTCTATATTCGCCGTCAGTTCTAACCATCTTAAAAATTTAAACTTGGTTAAATGAACACTAACATCGCTCAATGTCCCTGCAATTTGCAACATGGGTCAATAGACATCCCTCACTCGCACTCCTCTCCCCTCCAGCTGAACGGTCTGCGTTCACAGTTTTCTAAATAAGCACACGAAACAATAACCCGGTGTTTCATCTGAAATGTCGTTATAATGTGCTCAAGTTCTGAAAGCCAATATACGCCATAGTTGCGAACGCCCTGTAGTATGTGGTTCCAGTAGAGGGCCGGGTGTGTGCAGTGAGAATGGTCAGATCTCTCCGCATCCTCAAGCGTTAGGTCTATTCAGCGTCATGCATAGAAACAAAATATTTTATCGCGTGAACGAGTCAAAGATGCCACCGGTGGGAATCCACTATTTTCATGCGGGCAGCAAAGCACGAATGCACGAGCTCTTGGGCCCTGATGTGGACTAAATTCATCAAAATCTCTCACGAGTTTTTCATGGACAAATCGATTCCCCAATTTCGCCTGTTAGACGTGGGTACTATGCACAACAACTAAATGCATTTTGCACCGTGTTTGTGATGTACCACAACTATGTCAAAGCACCAAAAAGTAGAAAAGTTCCTGCCCCCCTATTTCTCCGAGACGAAATTTCTGCCGGTTCGGCGGCAACGCAGTGCGGCGAATTTCCAGTGATTAGGTTACAAATGCATCTGGACATATAAAAATTTTGTTGAACGCAAAATCCTAGAACAGACCGAGGAAACAAAAAACTGGAGGTCCTCCAACAGGTATCCCGAATAGTGTGCTTAACTTTTTTATTGGGCGAATCTATCAGCAATGAATACGCTCACCTTTAATGAAGGACGACTGAGCCATCGGGTCAAGAACCCCCAGCAACGGTTATAATAGCTCGTGATGTTGCTCAGCGAGGCATACAATGGTTGCGGTCGTCGAACTTTGAAAATACACCAATTCACCATCATGCTCACATGCTGTTAGTCACAATTAACTTCGGCTCTCTTTGCTCATAAACAGCGGGTGCATTCTTGATCAGCTGTCGGTCAACTTATTTCCTTTGGATGGATGAAGTAGGCCAGCCGCAGTATGTCGATAATGGTTCTCACTTTTGTTGCGCTCATACTTGGTAATGTAATACATGATGCACTCAGACTTCACATCACGCATTTTGCGTTGTCCCGCTAGAGCGGGTACAATCATAACCCGGAAAGATCGGGTAAGATTCCATTTAGGAAAAGGCTTTTCAGTCGGCGCTATGTTTTGCCATCGCGTAAAATGATGTTAGCAAATGAAGTTTAACCAAACCCGTCGGGAGTATCTGTTTAAGATACGGTGCCTATATTTTTTAACGTGCAAGCGAACCCCCTTTATCCGCTGCCTCTAGATACACAGGGCATCTGGCTTTAGATTTCCTCTTCTATCCCTCCACGTTTTGAGACGATTTCTCAACCACGGCACTTAAGCAGTAATTTCCACAAATGATGTATTCATCGTGCTGTCTCCGATTAGAAAGTCCTAGACCCCAATCCGTGTCGCGTTTATTATTTTTCCATTGATGAAATTTATTAACACTGGTTGACACGTTACTGAAGTAC